CACACACACACACACACACACACACACACACACACACACACACACACACACACACACACACACACACACACACACACACACACACAACCGGCAGATCATGTATAAGCAATACAAACAGCAGGTTTGGCCCCAGGACACTACTCCGTGGGATACCGCTTCCTACCTGTCTCCATTCAAATGTTCTGCCGTTTACCACCACCTGCTGCTGTCTTCCCATCAGGAAATCTTCTATCCATTTAATCAATCTTCCCTAACAAACCATAAGCCCCTGGCTTTCACATAAGCCGTTTATGAGGAACAATATCGAAGGCTTTCATAATATTCATACACCACTTGGACACTCCGTCATCTATCATCTCTATCTCTACCGAATGGGGTCGATTGCCTAAAGTAGTTGCTAAATAGTAGATGCTCCTCCGGCAAAACCATATTGCTGGGTTATCAGTAACTTGTTGCTGATTAGTTGATCCATTACTCTTTACGATTAAATTTTCATGACCTTGAATACCACGCTTGTCAGAGTTACAAAAATGTAGTTCCCCGGGGGCCTTTTGTCTCCCCTCTTAAATATTGCAGTAGTTTTCCCTGTTTCCATCTTATCGGCACACGTCCCGTATGCAGAGATTGATTGAAAATAATCTCTTGTCGCGTGGCTATCCCTGCCTCTAGCTCTTCCAGAATTCTTGGGTGGATATATTGTCCGGCTCTTGGGAGTTGTTTATGCTTAGGCTTTTAATTACTTCAGAATTTCGATCGGTTATCTCATTGTTGACGAATTGATCGTATATGTTCTTGACCTTAATTTCATGTACTTCTCCTGCGGGCCCACCGGTAATTAATCTACTGAAGAAAATAGCTAGTTTCTGCTTTCTCGCCGTTGGTTTTTACGGTGCAGTTTTCACAATTTTTCTTCTTCCCATTTAGGTCAGGGTTACTTGTTCTGATTTTGGATTTGGAGTTTGCATACTTCCAGAATTTTGTGTAGGTTGGCTTTTGCTTGAACGGCTATGCTTTGTTCCAACTTTTTGCTTTTCTGCAATGATTCTTTACTTTGCCGCCTTTAGTTTCCATAAACCTCTGCCAACACCTGTGGTTTTTTCCTAATTGCTTACAGTGTCTTTCTATCCAATAGTCGCCTGTTGTGATTTTTTCTCGCCATTAAATTTATTCGTGGTATATAAATATCAATCATACCTTCCAGTTCTCTAAGAAAATCGCTATAATTAATTTACTTAATACGTTCAAACTAGCCGCGGGCGGGCCGACGGCACGTGAGCATGGTAAAATCTGATCTACATGCTTCACTTTGCTCGCAGCCACGCGCCACGATTCCCAGCTGTGCTAATGTACATGAAAATGGCGCTCCTACGTCGGTCGCCGTTGATTTTTTTCGGCGGTTCTTATACGTTCAAACCGGTGTCGCGCGAAATATCTGACGTGTGCGAAATATCTGAGATAGGATGCGTATGCGCAT